AACGTGAGGGGAACTAGGCTCCTCTCACAGTCCGACCTGAAGACGGGAACGGCGCGGGAACACGGCGAGAGAAACGCGCGGAGCAAAGGTAAGTGAATTGACACAGGGGGGACTTGGCTTACTACTTGGGGGGGAATAGTACTGTGGGGGATGAAATACTATATGAGGGATGAATTAATATGGGGGATGAATTAATATGGGGAATGAATTACTATAGGGGGGATGAATTACTATGGGGGGGATGAATTACTATATGGGGGATGAATTACTATATGGGGATGAATTAATATATGGGGGATTAATTACTATATAGGGGATTAATTACTATGCTTACTATGGGGGAATATTACTATACTTACTATGGATGACACATACACATCATTCATCTATTCTTGGTCTGGCCCCCGGGTCCAATATATGAACCCATTGCCGCCCTCAAGTCAAAAAGTTTGCCCACCCCCTGATCTATACCATAGTTTGTAGACGCTATAACTTTCACACAAAGCAATCAATATACACTTATTGGGATTTTTTTTTACCAAAAACATGGAGCAGAATACATTTTGGCCTAAATTTATAACTAGCTTTGAGTTTACTATATATTTTTTATAGCTGAAAGTAAAAAAATATAATTTTTCTTCAAAATTTTGGTCTTTTTCTGTTTATAGCGTGAAAAATAAAAAGCGCACAGGTGATCAAATACCACCGAAAGAAAGCTCTATATGTGTGGGTACAGCATTGCATGACCGCACAAATATCAGTTGAATTAGTGCAGCGCCGAGTAGCAAAAAGAGGCCTGGTCAGGAAGGGGGGTAAGTCCTTAGGAGGGCAAGTGGTTAAAGTGTTACTAAACCCAGCACCCTGCATTCACTATATCTGGTCTCCCACAGTACACAGAACATGGAAATGCAATTATTTTTAGTAAATATAAACTGTTAAACACCTTTTCTCATCAACAGTTAGAGCAGTCTTGTGACTTCTATCAGTGTCCAGCAGAGCACATGTTAATGCTTGTAGGAGGAGTTTCCATTTTGCTCTAGGTAGATGCAGAACCCCTGACCTCTGTCTGGACAGTGCTGATTGGCCCTGTGCTGATCACAAGCACTCTCCCAAGAAAAAAAAAAAAAAACATCTCTAGCAATATACACCAAACTGAGCATGTGCAGAGTGACTCCACATGATATGTCTTATCAGGAGATAAGAGGGGGACACTGGAGGAAGGGGAGGATCAGAGAAGACAGGATCAAACGGTATTTTTATACAATGCAGAGGATTAAGGTTAGGTTCCACATTGAGTATAACAAGCATGCTTTACTGCATTTCCAGACTGATTTTACTGTTGTGGGTGTAGTAAAACTTTAAGTAGCCTAAGAACTGATTTGCATACAGTGTTGATGGTCAAACAGCTATGCACATGGTGTGAATGAGCCCTAAAAAAGAAGACCCAGTACTGACCATTTGAGTACACATAGAAGGGTTTAGAAACTAGTTACAGGAGACTGACAAGCATACTATAAACTCAAATTTTATTGGGATTTAATATGCAGACCATATAAAAGGAATGAATGAGATATGTGGACGTATGGGCTAGAAATGAAAGCACTGCCTTTATAGTTCAGTTACCAGGATGTAAACAATGTATTCAGGTGGTTTGAATCCACTTTAACTGCAGGATCGTAACTCCTTAATTAGCCTCTTCATAGTCTTTATCTTCTGCTTCTGTCTCTGCGCTTTGCGGTGTAGTCGTCTTATCTTCTTCTTAAGCATCAGGGTATTGGGACTCAGTGCCGAGTAAGGAATTTCATTTTCCATTTCATGACAGGATGAGGAGTATGTGTGGTCGATGTGTTCTTCGATTCTGTCACTATCATGATTGCTGTCATCTCTCTCCGTTTGGGGTTTATTACAAACGTCAGCTACAGATCTGCTGTTCATTTTCTCCACAAATGTAACATGCCTGAAGTCACATCACTGGGCTTTTAAATGGAGAAGTCAATATCCGCAGAACAAATAAAGTTTATAGAACACTCTACAGGCCGTTCCGTTATGTCTGAAGAACTTTAATGGTTACATAATCTCAGGGCAAGGATGCCGATGATCACTTGTAGAGCCCTAAAAGAGAGAGGGATATAAAACACAGAGCTTTACAAAACACCTTGGGAAGCTTTCAAGCAGAGTATTCTGGTGTTTAGAGTTTTAGATGATTTGGTACCTCAAAAGAGAAGTTCTCATGCATGGAAACTCACTGAGGGTAAACATACATAATGTGTAAACCTTAAGGGGTAACCCACCTATAAGGAAAAAAGAAATGTAGCAACTAGAAAAAAATATATAGCCTATACAATTGCTAAACAGGCCATGGTGTAATACCTTACATACTATTGATGTTAGGCTGACTTGCTGCTTGTTAGGACTTTGACATCAATAGAGACATCCCACCCACACCTGCATTTGATTACTCAGTTATACTGATAGTGCAGGAATGTCCAATTCCTATCACCCGACGCCCGGGACATGTAGTTCCGGGTGCCGGACAAGTAGGTTTTTTTTTTGCTCTTAGCCCTGCTGCGGGAAAGCAGCGGGCTCATCAGTCAGATGGAAGCATTCGGGCAGCAGCGCTGCCACCTGATTGCTTCCACACAGCCCGCAGTATCAGCCTCTCCCCCACTATATGTCCCGGGCTCCGCTTACCCATCTGCAGGCCCGAGACTGGTTCAGAGGGTGCCGCAGGATGTGGTATAGGGGAGGGAGGAGGAGAGCGGATACATCCGCTCCCCTCCCCTTCTTCTCCTGATCCAGAAGTGATGTGACATCACTTCCAGGACCCCGTTTGACAGATTCCCGGTCATTGAAGAGGGGAAAAAATGTAACGGGGTGTGATGTGCACCGCATTACATTCAGTGTAGTACAAGGAAGACATGCAGGGTCTTTTAGACCCTGCATGACTCAAAAAAGAGAACCTGTCACCAAAAATCATCACATAGGGGAATTTTTGTCCCATATGTAATTTAAAAAAAAAGTTATTTTTTTATTTTATTTTTTTTAAACAGAAGTTACACCCAAGCATATAACCCCAAATTTTTCAAGGCCCCCCCACCCCCCCCCATATATACGCACGCACAAAACGTAAAAGCTCATACTCGGGCGCCTACACATGATTGCGATGCACGTTACATATCGCTGCGTATCGCTGCACACGCCAGAGTGAGAGCAATAATTCTAGCACCAGGTCTCCTCTGTACACTACACTGATGACCTATAAGGGGCTTTAAAAGTGTCGTCTACAGAAAATATAGGGTACTACAGTTTGTTGCCGTTTCACGAGCACACGCAGATTTAAGATTTGACCTGTTGGATATCTATTTACTTGCTGCAACCTCATCTTTTATATTTTACAACAAAATTGGATAATTAATTGTTTTTTCTGCCCTAAAATTAACTTAAGTGTGCATTTTACTGAAACTTTGTGATAATATCATGTGACAAATAATTGGAACTACCGCTATTTTATTCTCTAGGATCTCTGCTTTCACAAATATATATCATGTTTGGGGGTTTTGTGTCATCTTCAGGCCTAAAACGATTTTTTAAATGTGTGCAAAAAACGCAAAAACAGCTCTGGCAGCGAAAGGGATAAAGGATAAGTTCTGTTCTTGATGGTGGGTTATATTTTGTTGTGGGGATCTATTGTTGCTGGGGGGTCTTTGGTTTCTGGGGGGGGGGCATTTGTTGCTGAAAGGGATATATGTTTTAGGGAGGGTTCTGTTGTCGCTGGAGGGTCTTTTGAAGCTTGGTGGGAGTTTATGGTTGCTGCTGGGGGGGGGGTATTTTGTTGCAGGTTATCTATCGCTGCTTGGGGTCAATTGTTGCTATAAAGGATCTGCTGTTGAGGGAAGGTTCTATTGTTGCTGGTGGGTTATATTTTGTTGTGGGGATCTGTTGTTGCTGGGGGGGATATTTGGTGTCTGGGGGGGTCATGTGTTGCTGGAAGGGATATACGGTTGAGGGAGGGTTCTGTTGTTGCTGGTGGGGTATATTTTGTTGTGGGGATCTATTGTTACTGGGGGTCTTTGGTTTCTGGGAGGGTTCTGTTGTTCCTGGCTGCTGGGGGGTCTTTTGAAGCTGGTGGGAGTTTATTGTTGCTGGTGGGGTAGGGGTATTTTGTTGCCAGGGGTCAGTTGTTGCTTTAAGAGGTCTACTGTTGGGGGAGTGGTCTATTGTTGCTGTGGGGGGATCTATTTTTTCCTGCTTTTCTTGTTATCTTTAACAAATGTTATAAGTTACTTAGCACTACAAAATGATAATTGGCTCTGTATTCTCTAAAAGAGGCGGTACTGGAGGTGGGTAGGGGGTGGAACCAAGGGATGGTGCTCGGAGGTGGGTAGGGGGTGGAACCAAGGGATGGTGCTCGGAGGTGGAACCAAGGGATGGTGCTCGGAGGTGTGTAGGGGGTGGAATCAAGGGATGGTGCTCGGAGGTGTGTAGGGGGTGGAACCAAGGGGTGGTGCTCGGAGGTGGGTAGGGGGTGGAACCAAGGGATGGTGCTCGGAGGTGGGTAGGGGGTGGAACCAAGGGATGGCGCTCGGAGGTGGGGTGACTTGGAAGGGGGGAGTACTTACACCTGTATATGTATCATACATCCCAAACCCTCTTTACTACCTAAGTCATGACACATCTAAACATATCAAATAGAATACCAACTCAAGCAACAGTTCGCCACATTCCATACATAAAGGCATCCCTGTAGTCACAATCCAGGCTGATCTGGTGACAACCTCCTCAGCTCTGTCAGGTTTATAAATCACCAGCTGTGTGATCAGAAAGGTCAGACTGGAAGACTCCACAACACCAACCAACAAAATGGAAACTTACCGGCGACTAGAGTGCCCTGTCCAGCGTACTTCCGCCGGAAGTGTACGTATTTCGCTTGATGCGGAAGTAAACAGACGATCTGTTCGCTCTGTTAATGGCAGCTATGGCCGCCCTAGCTAGCATGCTTTATGCTCCGGAGGCCGGAAGTGAGTGTGCGGCGGAATGGATGTGACGTCAGCCGGGGCTTGCTGAGGACCAGGAAGCGGCCGTTTATGGCAGCCATGCACCGGAGAGGGGTGGGAGCGGGGGCCATAGCCAAGAAGAAAGCTGGCTGAGGTGAAGGGCCCCGTGTGGGGGGGATGGGTGAGGGGAGGTACACCGTTGGGAGATGGTGTCTCTGGAGGGCTCCTGTCAGCATTGAGCACCTCAACCAAAAGAATCATTTTGTATCCTCATACAGTCAGCCCAATGTTTGGTTGTCTTCTACCAGCCTCAGAGCAGGGACAGGTTCTCTTCATAGTGAATCTACAGACATAACTTTCCCCATAGGACTTGTTTACACTTGCAGCACTCTGAAAAGCGATCTGCAGTGGGTTGCTTTTCAGAGGGTGGCTGGGTGGTGATATGTCACCTTGTCACTGCCTGTTTTAACCCTTGAGGGTTGATGACACCAGAACGCGTGTTGGTCGTGTGTGTTTTTTTGCATTTTTTTCAGTGTGCTGCCAAACGCACAAAAAGGGCGACAGGCATGATTTTTATACAAATCCCGCTGCGTTACCATACCATGCGCTGTGGTGGGCACAAACATGCTCACATTTGCTGCATGCATTGGGGGTGCCATTAGCTATAAAAGAGGCCAGAACTATTCCTATGGGGTGCAGGAAATGCACACAGACACGTATGTATCCCACACCGCAAGAGGAGTGAACGAGCTCTGAACGCCTACAGCACCGCGTCACAACTGCATGCTTTTCACACAGTTGCAGTGCGGCCCCGTTCACTTGAAAGGGTCCTGCTTGGCATCCATACTGCCCTCCAAACATGACCTGTGGTATAAATTGGACTGCAAATCATTGCAGATACGGTCAGGTCTATAAATATTGGGACATGGACACAATTCTAACATTTTTGGCTCTATACACCACCACAATGGATTTGAAATGAAACGAACAAGATGTGCTTTAACTGCAGACTGTCAGCTTTAATTTGAGGGTATTTACATCCAAACCAGGTGAATGGTGTAGGAATTACAACAGTTTGCATATGTGCCTCCCACTTGTTAAGGGACCAAAAGTAATGGGACAGAATAATAATCATAAATCAAACTTTCACTTTTTAATACTTGGTTGCAAATCCTTTGCAGTCAATTACAGCCTGAAGTCTGGAACGCATAGACATCACCAGACGCTGGGTTTCATCCCTGGTGATGCTCTGCAGGCCTCTACTGCAACTGTCTTCAGTTCCTGCTTGTTCTTGGGGCATTTTCCCTTCAGTTTTGTCTTCAGCAAGTGAAATGCATGCTCAATCGGATTCAGGTCAGGTGATTGACTTGGCCATTGCAGAACATTCCACTTCTTTCCCTTAAAAAACTCTTTGGTTGCTTTTGCAGTATGCTTTGGGTCATTGTCCATCTGCACTGTGAAGCGGCGTCCAATGAGTTGTGAAGCATTTGGCTGAATATGAGCAGATAATATTCCCGAAACACTTCAGAATTCATCCTGCTGCTTTTGTCAGCAGTCACATCATCAATAAATACAAGAGGACCAGTTCCATTGGCAGCCATACATGCCCACGCCATGACACTACCACCACCATGCTTCACTGATGAGGTGGTATGCTTAGGATCATGAGCAGTTCCTTTCCTTCTCCATACTCTTCTCTTCCCATCACTCTGCTACAAGTTGATCTTGGTCTCATCTGTCCATAGGATGTTGTTCCAGAACTGTGAAGGCTTTTTTAGATGTTGTTTGGCAAACTCTAATCTGGCCTTCCTGTTTTTGAGGCTCACCAATGGTTTCCATCTTGTGGTGAACCCTCTGTATTCACTCTGGTGAAGTCTTCTCTTGATTGTTGACTTTGACACACATACACCTACCTCCTGGAGAGTGTTCTTGATCTGGCCAACTGTTGTGAAGGGTGTTTTCTTCACCAGGGAAAGAATTCTTCGGTCATCCACCACAGTTGTTTTCCGTGGTCTTCCGGGTCTTTTGGTGTTGCTGAGCTCACCGGTGTGTTCCTTCTTTTTAAGAATGTTCCAAACAGTTGTTTTGGCCACGCCTAATGTTTTTGCTATCTCTCTGATGGGTTTGTTTTGTTTTTTCAGCCTAATGATGGCTTGCTTCACTGATAGTGACAGCTCTTTGGATCTCATCTTGAGAGTTGACAGCAACAGATTCCAAATGCAAATAGCACACTTGAAATGAACTCTGGACCTTTTATCTGCTCATTGTAATTGGGATAATGAGGGAATAACACACACCTAGCAATGGAACAGCTGAGAAGCCAATTGTCCCATTACTTTTGGTCCCTTAACAAGTGGGAGGCACTTATGCAAACTGTTGTAATTCCTACACCGTTCACCTGATTTAGATGTAAATACCCTCAAATTAAAGCTGACAGTCTGCAGTTAAAGCACATCTTGTTCATTTCATTTCAAATCCATTGTGGTGGTGTATAGAGCCAACAATGTTAGAATTGTGTCGATGTCCCAATATTTATGGACCTGACTGTATATGTATACCACTCCATCCAGGCCTCCATGTTACATTAAGGTGGGGGTGGTGGTAAAACTGTGGCTCAACCGACTGTGTTTACTGCCCCCCTGGCCACATATGTAAATGATGCCTTAGACAAATCATAAAATATACAATTTTCTTTCCTTCCACCACAGGTGGAAGGAATGAAAATCACTCGATTTCCCCCATCCGCACAGTGTTGATAGGGGAATCCCCTTCCCGCAGCACTGTTGTGTTCTGCCGTCCGAGAGCCTTCCCTGTGATCACATGAAAACAAATCACACAGGCTGGTCATACTGAAGTCAATCCATGGATTGACTTCAGTACATCCAGCCTGTCTGTAGATGGATTGATTTTGTCTGGTCCCTGCTGAAGTTGCCAAGACTTGATCCACCTATGGCCGGCTTAAGGTTCAAATGTGTGCATGTATGGCTGTACATATATGTCACGAACAGAGCTCAATGATTTCAGTGGGATGCCCTACCTGCGAAAAACGGGCAAAGAAGTCCCCGACCTTTTTTTTTTAATTTAAGGCCCCATTCACATTCGTGCGACTCCAAAGTCATGTGATTTACGTTGCAACTTTGACTTGTGCAATGATGGCATTGATAACTTTAAGATGCGACTTTTGAGCTTTTACATTGCAGCCTATGGCACTCATGTCGCATGAAAGTTGCATCAAAGTAGTGCAGGAACCTTTTTAAAGTTGCATAGATTTGAATGGCTTCCAATGAAATGCAAGGGCTGCAACTTGTCATGTGTCTTAAGTCGCATGTCAAGCCACACAAGTGTGAATGAAGCCTAAGGGCCCTTTCAGATAGGGCGAACCCGTTTAGCGTATCTACTTGCTGAGCAAGAGGATGACAGGTCTGTGTCTGCTCCGCTGCTGCAGAGCGGACACAGAGCTGCTCGCTCTCCTCAATGGGCGGTCAGATGAAAACGAACTGCTTGTCCGTTTCTATCCGACGGACGGAAGGGGAATTGGATCCCCATCTGTCTCTTTTTTTGCGGATCGGATGTCAGTGGGTGCAAACAGGCACATTTCCTTTTACACCCGCCGCTCCATAGAGGAGAATGGAGGTTCCGATCAGGTCCGCCTGAAAAACAGGCAGGTGGACCCGAACTACAATGTCCATGTGAAAGGGGCCTTAGTGTGCAGTAAGTGCCAATGTGTGGGGAGGCCATTAAAAGTGCAGCTGTGGGTCAGGAATACACAGGATTTTGTGCGAGTTCCTGTGGTGTTTTTGTGGAGATGTAGAATTCCTGCCTAACACTTAACTGTTCTTAAAAATGCTCCCTCCCCCCTCCTGCTACCTATTTTGTATAAAAAAAGATCTGTGTACTTATCTTTTCTTAGGCCGATCCAATCACATGATCCCGCAGCTCTAGCTCCCCTGTGTAAAGTGTGCAGCTACTGCAGGGGAGAGGAGGGCACACTGACAACAGCTGGGCCATGGGAACCTATGGGTGACATCACAGCTCCTGGAATTCACAGCCGTTGTTGAGCACTCCCTGGCACAGGAGAGCCGGAGCTGTGCAATCACATGAACGGACTGAAAAAAGGTAAGTACACAGATCTTTTTTTACATCGGTTAGGCAGGAGGAGTGGTAGAGAACATTTTAAAGAATAGTATTAGGCCTCTTGCACACTGATGCCTAAAAAGAAAAAAAAAAAAAAAACACATTTGTAGGCATTCAGGCATTTTTGTTGCACTGATTTAAATGCAGCCTGTTGTTTTCAATGGGCCTGTGTACACAGGTGTGTAAAATTGCATAATTATGCGGTCATGCAACACTGTACCCATATGAAATTTTTATAATTTTTTTGAGACAGAGCTTTCTTTTGGTGGTATTTAATCACCTCTGGGGTTTTTATTTTTTGCTAAACAAATTAAAAACAACTGAAAATTTTGAAAAAAAAAGTTTTTTTTCTTAGCCTCTGTTATAAAATTTTTTTAAATGAGTAATTGTTCTCCTTCACTGATGTGCGCCAATGAGGCTGCACTGGCGGGCAGCACTGATTGGCACTGAAAGGCATCTCATATGGGCACTGATATGTGGCATTGATGTGCACTGGTAGGCACTGATATGTAGCATTGATGTGCACTCATGGGCACTGACAGCTGGCATTGCTGGACACTGACAGGTGGCACTGATGGGGCTACACTGGTCATCAGTGCCCTGATGATCAGTGTAGATGTCCCCTCCGAGGAATGCTGATTACCGGCTCTCCTCTCCTCATGAGCTGTCAGCGTGACAGCTCGTGAGGAGAGAAATGCCAATAACTGACATTTCCTTACTTACATACAATCAGCTGTGATTGGACACAGCTAATCACATGATAGAGCTGAAGTGATCAGCTGTTTCCGCTGATCGGTTTTTTGATCATATGACGTCCTCCCAGAACGAGGGAACCACTGCCCATCCGTCATTTGCTTATATGGCGGGCGGGAGGTAGTTAATGTTGCTGTAGGCCTCTTGACAGCCTCCCAGACCAGTGTTCTTTTTGTCTTTTCATCAATTTTGGAGGGACGTCCAGTTCTTGGTAATGTCACTGTTGCACCATATTTTCTCCACTTGATGATGATGGTTTTCGCTGTG